TAGAGAAGTTGTTTCATTTTCTTAATGTAAATATTTTTGCATCTCATATTGAATGAACTAGAAGCTTCTAGAAAAAGTTTCACAAACAAACACCTGCATCTGGATTTTTTTTAAAGAATTTTTATACGGATGTTGATGCCTTTATTTTGAATGTATAATAAACTTTTTTTTAAAATCTAAGTATTTGCTTCTTTAATAACTTAAACAAAACTAATAATTTCTTTGGCTAATAGCTAACCTATTTTGCCGCAATTACACTGTTCTCAAAAGGAAGAAGTAATAAAAGCTTCTGTCATTCATTAGGGTGGAAAAGAGATTCTGCAAGAAGGGAAATGTAAGTTGGGAAGATAGTACAGTGCTGCTATAAAAACTACATATAGATAAATGTTCATATAATATATTTCAGTAAACAAAGTCTCTCATCTATGTGTAAAAGACTGCACACAGTTAAAAGTGTTAAAAGTTAAAAACAGAGTTATATTAATAGCCTCTTAACCAATGCAGAAGCATAGCTGACTGCAGCTCTCAACTGCAAACGGTTTTTCTTGTGATTTTTTTGGCTAGTACGTTGCTTTTTCACATCACCTCAGCTGGTTTGTGCCTCTGGAGCGCCCCGATGGCGACGCAGCTCAGCTCCTGCGGAGGAGCTTGTGCTGCGGAGCAGTGTCCCCAAGGGCAGCCTGGGGCCCAAGGGGCTGCCCGGCGCCCGTGCGGCTCCTCCTGCTGCAGCCACACTGTCAGCTGTGCCCCTGGCCTTGGCGTCAGGAAAGCTGGCATTAACAGCTCCTAATTTCCATGTAGACGCACCATCGATTAGTGGTCTGGACAAGGGACGGCTGACAGAGGATGAAAAATAGTGGGCAGGGAAAGTGAGGTCTAGGCTACCAGAGGGAAAGAAGCTGACAGAAGCTAAGGGAGCTAAGGGAGAGACTGATGTAATGAATGAGTTTAGAAAGGGTAGGTTCAAAAAGAAAGAGTTTGAGTGAGTAATTTTGACCAGAAAAGAAAAAAAAAAAAAAAAAGAGAGAGGTTGAAGCACAGGGTGAGGCGTGCAAGGCCAAAGAAAAGCAGCAAGAAGAAAGTGGAGCGGGAGTTCAGGGGACACGAGGCGTGGGAGGCAGGAGGCAGGATCTGAGGGGACGAGGAGGACCAACAAGCACCCAAGCTCCAGGAGGGAACAGTCAGCTGAGCAGCGAGGAGAATGCAGGAAGAAAAATCAAGGGAGGAGGGAGAAAAAATACAAAAATATATGATTTTTGACACAATAAACTTCAAAGAACTGGGTTTATTCCGTTGACATTCCCGTAAGCTCAAGCCAAACCTGTGTCACACTCCTAGGAACTGCTGTACTGTGTCCCCCTTCGATCAGGGCTTGCCTGGCCTGCCGGTGACATTGGGAAGATGTATGGCAGAGCCAGCAAAGTCATATGGTATCGGGAGTGCTTATCTGGAACAGGCAGATTACTGTTGCTGCACCGAAGAAATTGCGCCGTAGAAAAGCGTTGCGCATACAGGGCCGTGCTGAACAGCTCTACCATCTACTGTGGACAGCACTCACTTCAGCAGCTTGTGTAAACAGAGCTCGGTTTGCAGACAAAACCTCAAGGAGTATGAGTTTTTTGCATAATTTGTCCCCAGATCAGAGAATTTAGCAACAGCAGATCTTGTCATCTGCCGTTTTCTTTTTTTTTCCCTCTTGCTCCGTTACAGTGGCTTGTTAGCTCTAACACAGCAAAAGGTGCAGATGATCAGAGCCAGTGAAGAAGAGGGTGGGGAAAAGAAAAGGCGCAGGAAAAGGGAAGATGGGAGATGTAAGAACATGCAGGAGCCAGAGGAAGGTGATTTGGGAAACTTCAGAAGCTGCAGAGCTGGATGCTCCGTGCCAGAGCAGGGCTCTAGCATATATAGCTAGATGCTCCGTGCCAGAGCAGGGCTCTAGAGGAATGAAAGATGCTTCATACAGAAACAAATGGCAGTAACAAGGATGTTATTGTATTTAGCGTTTGCATTGTGGAATTCGGGGTGGCACTTTGTAACTATAAATACATTAAAAAAAAAAGAGCCCTGACACAAAGATAGATTTACAGAACCTGTTTCTGTGCAAAACACGTCTAAAGACAGCAAACCATATTTTTTTTAACATGCTCTTTATTACTGCTTCTGAAACTTCCCAGTGAGGTGTAATATTTTAAACATGAATGGAAAATGTCAGTGCCATAGGAAAGGATGCTGATATTGAAGAGATATTAAATCATCCTCTGACATTTTAGGATTTTAGCTACTGTTTTTAATTTAAAAACCAATCAAGGAACCTAAACATACTTGTCGCTGCCTGGATCCAGCTCTTCAGCCTTTGTTCTGTCCTCTGAACTTCTGAAATCCCGGGAAGATAAATTTACAAATTGTGTCTGCTCACTGGGAAGATTATTAAACAAGAAACCCCAAACAATTAAGTAAAGCCTTAGCTAGACGTAATCATTTTAATTTAGTCTTTGATAGAGTTCATCTGATCAAGTTCTTTCCAAACTGCATGTAGAGTTTGGCTTGGGACAAGCAGAATCAGCGCATATGTGTCCTGACAGGGGTGTTTACTCGAACGGAGTTATCCCAGCCTCCCTGTGCGCGCTTGGTTCTGAGGACAAGAAACTAGGGACGCAAAAGGGCCTGGGGACAGGAACTGCCAGAACAATAAGGATAGAGAAACCGGAGGAAATAACCTACTGGGAGAACAGGAATGCACTGGGAATAGCAAAATCAGTCAGATGGGTAGAAAGCAGATATTGGGAAGATGCCCACAACAAGGCAGGGAGAGATGCCCATAGAGAGAGCTTTGGAGCAGAGGAGTGGGCAGAGGAGGGATGACACGGACTGCAAGCATGGGGAAGAGGGAGGCCCGGGGATGTGACACCGCAGCGAGGGAAAGGGCGCAAGTCAGTGGGGCTGACAAGAAAAAGAGCAGGTGGCCCTTAAACTAAACTTTGACCAGGGAAGCTGCTCTTCAGCCAGCAGACCAGTAAGTATTTCTGGCTGCAGAGACTTATTTTCCCCTCCCTATCTTGCTGCCTTAGAGCAGGTGGAGAGATAGTCCTTGTCTGTGAAATCTGGGCAGTGTTTGAGACCCCCTTGCCTGCTGCCATCCACTGCAGCGGACACTCACCTGTTGGACTTGGTCTGGGTCAGAATGGGGCTTTTCCAAGGGGTCCCTTCCCCGTTCCTGCAGTGCTGGTGGGGCCATAACCTTCTGCAGAGGTTACAGAGAAGAGAACGAGCAGCCACACGGAATAATGCAGCTGCTTCTGCACCTCCGGCCCAAGCGCGGCCCAAGCGCTGCTGGTTTTGACTCACTACTCATTAACAGGGGTCAGAGCACGCGTTCCCTCGCGGCGGGACCGCCGAGCGCCAGGCGCGGGGCAGCTGCACCCTGCGAGGCTGCTCTGTGCCCAGTGAGCCCCCGACGTCCTCCTTCCCTGCGCTGGGGCACAGGAGCCAGCCCTCCCGCAGGCCGCGCACCGAGCCGAGGCCCCCGCAGCGCAGCTGGGGCGCTCGCGGGGCAGGGTTTGCTCTGCCTTACTAACTGGGCAGTGCATTTGGGAGAAGTAGCAGGGCCGGGTGTTGGGGCGGGGGTGTAGAAGGAGTCCCGTGCCTGGAAAATAATAATAATAATAAAATAATAAATAAACAGCAGATCCCCAAGTCCTCCAGGTGTTGTGGGGAGGTGCAAGCGGGGCTGGAGCTGGGGCGGCAGAGGGAGGGCTGCGGCCCGAGCCCCGCGGCGGCAGCTGCGCCCAACCG